TGTGTGTGTGAGAGTATGTGCATGTGTGTATGCGTGTGTGTGTGTGTGCGGCAGGAGGGAGAGCAAGCTGATGCCTACAAGGAAGGCATTGATGGGAGATTGGAAGGGGAAGGCTGGTGTAATTTTCCTCCTCTCTCACCTCCCTGGGTGCTGACTCTGGCACTGGCCACATCCCAGCTGTGGTGCCAGCTTCTCCCAGGCAGACCCACTGGAGTTCCCGCCTCTGCCTGGCAACTCCTCTGCTCCAGGGTCCGGCCGCTTCTGTGTCTCCATCACCCACTAGTTCCAGGGGCTGTCACAGTCTCCCTCTGGGAGCCCCTCTGTCCCCTGGTTAGCATCTCAGCTCCTCTAACACTGATAGGTCCCCAGCTCCCCATACCGAATTCCCTGTGTCTGAAACACCCACAGTGGATTCTAGTCCCTGCCTGGACCCTGGCTTACAAAGGGCCTACACGTGGTCAGGAACAGGGGCTGGAGTTTCAGTGGAGGTCAAGGTAGACACAGCCTCTGTCCCCGTGGCCCTCCCAGGAAAGTTCACAAGGAGATGGCCAGTTCAGAGTAATCTGTCTTGAGCCTGGAGAAAGCACTCGGAATATCCACCCATCACACCTCCGGCCTCTCCCTCATGCATCTAGTATTCATTTCACAAACACTGAGCAGGCCCTCCACTGTGTGCTAGAAACCCAGACCTGAAAAGAGACTCAGGTCTGGTGAGGGACTCAGGTAAGAAAAGAGACCCTCAGAGCAGGGCCTATGGGAACATAAAGAAAAACCAAAGCCTTCAGGTATAGAGGTGGGTAGTCGAGGAAGCCTTCCTGGAGGAGGTGACACAGTGCTGCCTTAGCCAATGAGTAAGAGTCCAACAGGCAAGAAGGATTGATAGTAACCTCACATCACCTCTTTTGTATCAGTATTACCTTAACTAGTACCACATTCTCCTGAAGTAAATGCCATTGCTACCCATTTCCAGATGGGTTAGCTGAGGCTGTCAATTAATTATGTAACTTATCTAGGATCACACTGCTAGGATGTGGAGGGGGAGAGAGCGCGAGTCTGAATCTGGGGTGACTCCCCTACCATGTTCTGCTGGCTTCAGTTATAACAGTTATAATGACAACAGCCAGTGGCTCTAAATGAGTCCTCTTTGCACCCTGTGATGGGTGGAGGGTTTTAAAGGAGTCGGTTTATGGAGGCCCCTCAATGGCCCTCCAAGTAATCCTCCCCATTTTTCAGAAAGGGAAGCTGAGGTTTAAAGAGGTTGCGAAGCTTGACTAAGGCCATGCAGCTGGTCGGCAGCAGAACCAAACTTAGGAACCAGACTGGAATAACTCCAAACCCAGGGCCTTTCCTCCTGCCCTTCCCCATCCACTCCCAGACAGCACCTCACATCCAGCACCCAGTAGGGATTCAGTTAGCATGTAGTTAACCAGACTGAACTAGTTCCTTCCAGTTTCCTTTTGACCTTGTCTCCAGCTGAGTGCTTGTGGCAACACTGATGGCCGTGGCCCACATGAGGTGTGCCGGCCTAAGTTGCTGTATCTGGTGTTTGTCATCTAAGTGGTAGCCACCAGCAAAAATTACTTCCCTTGATAGACACTCAATCCAAAGTTGCACGAGCATCTTGCCACAGTCAGAGCCAAGATGCACTCCAGTGTGTTACAGGCAACAAATGAAATTGCTGACGATGCAGGTGGATCTCCAACATTGACACTGAGGACACCCCCCCCCCCCCCCCACCATCCTACCAGCTTCCATCGTTACAATGCATTCTGCAAGCCTTTGAGGATAAGAAGCCAGGGATTGGGCTTAAGATTCTTGCTCAAGGTTGCATAGCTAGAATCCAGTTCTCTGCACACTAAGGACACCCCACCACCCTTTCCCTCCCTAGAAGTACTACATTGTGCACACAGGCCAAACAGCCTCTGCTAGATGCTGTCTTAATATATGACACTGGCCTCTGCTGGATCTCATTGGTTAGAGTCAGTCTCACTTGTTAGAGTCAAAGGTTCGTGAGACCAAAGTCATGAATTCAGCCCTTGTTGGGTTTATTCAGTCCTGCTTACCAGCCTTATGATCTTGGGTGAATTATTTACTTGTTCTCATATCTGTAAAGTGGGATAATAATGCTACCCCAGCAGGATGTGATAACTGATGTACCTCTCAGTCTCCCATTAGGAAACAGAGGCTCACTCAACTGAGGAGAGTTCAACAAGGGTGGGGGCAGGATTAAGGGAAACCAACAGGGTGGGGTGCAGTATTCCCAGGCTAGGAGTAGTAGCCTCTGACAGAGAGTCAGTGCTAACCTCAGTGGCCTGATGCGGGCGGACCTAGAACATACACCCAACCTCCCCACGGTCTCTGAGTCCCTGCTTCTGCCCCCCATTTGCTGAACACAACTGGAAGCTGGAGGCCACAGAAGCCCATGATGTGGTCCATATGGGTCAGCATCCCATGGCACACGGCAGAGCGTGGAAGGGAAAAGTAGAAACATGGAGGGACAGAGAAGACACCAAGCACAAGCCCCTCCTAGCATGCTGTCACCAATATAGGGTGGAGTGAGGGGTGGGGAAGCGCATTAATTGTGAACCTACTATGTACTGCAGCAAACTTAAACTGCCTTAGTCTCTTTGGAGATTCCCAGCCAGACACACCCTAGACAGCTCTCTAGGTCCTCACCCTTTTGCCCTGGTCTCCAGCCCAGTTGAAATCATCCTGGCTCTCAGAAGAGCTAACTGCCCATGCTAGAATCATTTATCCACAATTGGATCTTGACGATCCATTAAAACAACTCCATTTGGATAATGAGCTAGATGGGGCCAGCCCTGTCGGTGCCTCCAGAGGCCATGGTTCTGCTACCATCTGAGCCATCCCGCCAGCGGGTTTGTTTGCACGCCCGAGAATGTATTGGCCACTTGAATCTGTTATAAATTACCAGCCTGGAAATAAATATCGTATCTGGGTCCCCAGTAAGTAACAGATGCATGAGTCCAGAGTGAGATAAATGTGTTTTGGATGCAAGCCTCTTTCCCACTGTTCACAGACGGATGGAGGCAGCCGGGGCCGGTCGGCAGTGGGTCTCTGCTGTGTAGGTGGGACTTCGGTGAACTCAGAGTTCATTTAAGGTTAGGAAGTTTCCTGTCCCAGTTCCTGGCAAATCTCCAGCAAAGACCCCAGTTAAGCAATACGGTTCCTTTTATCTCCATTGTTGAGGAGTCTCGTGGTTAGAATGTTTTCTCTTTGGGGACTGTCTAGGGTCTTAGAGACCAGAGGGCCTTTTTACTCACATGCAGTGTGCGTGAATTCGATACATGTGTATCAAGGCTGGTGGCCCAGGCAGACTTCTCTGTGCTGGGGACACAGCCATGAGCAAGCTGGACACAGCCCTGCCCTGCTGGCCCTCCCATTCCACTGGGGAAACAGTGAGCATGTACATAAACAAAGAACACTGTGCCATTTGGTGACAAGTGCAAAGGAAAGTAAACCACAAAAACTTGAAAGGGGCTGTCAGGGTGGTCAGGGGAGGCTCTCTGTAGAAGTGACTGGTAACAGAGCAGTAGCCCGGATGGAGAGAGAGAGCAAACCGCTGAGTTAACGGGGGACACATGTAGCAGGCACAGGGAATGGCCAGTGCAAAGGCCTCTAGATGGAAACACGACTGCTGTTTCTGAAGAAGAGAAAGACAGCCAGTGAGCCAGGGGAAGAGCAGTCGGAACAGGAAAGCTCCTGGAGGGATGGAGTAGAGATACCATTAAGGTGCCCCAACCTCACCCCAGTGACCTATTCATGCATGTATGCCACCAGCCAGCCTTTGCTAAAAACGGCACCCAGCTGAGTGTCACGTGCTGTGGCCCACGAGGAGAAAAATACAAAGATCGTATTGCAGCTCACGTTGTGAGTATGCTCATTGGGCATCTGCAGAAGCCTGTGGGACTGCTCAGGAGGAGGGAGGTCTCATCTGAGGGGTAGCGCGGGGAGGCTGGGACTTAGGGAACATGAGAGGGGGTGCAGAGGGACAGCTGGCAGTGAGGCTGGAAATGGATCGGCAGTCCTGAGCTGAGGTGTTTGGACATTACCGTGCAGGCAGTGGGGGGGCCACGGTAGGCTGTTTGGTGGGGGAAATAACATAATCAGTTGTGCACTGGAGACTTCGTTCTGGCAGGAAGCAGATGAGCTATGGGACCAGACTGGACGCAGGGAGGCCAACAAGAGGCCAGAGCTATGGCCCAGGTCAGGGAGGACGAGGGCTGTAATTAGGAGGGATGATGGCAGGGTATGGGGGAGTGGGCATGAGAAACCGCATCCTCCCACACTCTAGGGGATTGTTTTGTGTTACCAGACCTACTCAAGAAAACTCCTAGAGCCTAGGAAACCTTGTCCATCTTGACTTGAAGGAAAAGTTACCTCCTGGTACCTCTCACCTCCCTTCCTACTTCCCATGTGTCAGAGAAGAGCTCTGTTTTACATTAACAGGCAGAGCAATGAGGAGGGAAGGGCTGCTGATCTCACCATCTCCCAAGTGGCCAACACAGACTCTTAGTCGTGGTAGGCACCCAATAAATGTTTGCCAGATAACCAGTAAAATAATATAAAGTCCTATACGTTAAATCTTAGGATAGTGCCTGGGACATAGTAACTGTCATATAACCCTAACAGCAATCCTATGATGTAGATAAAAGTACCCGCATTTAACAGCAGAAAATCAATTGAAGCACAGGGAGGTTAAGTCCTTGCCCCAGACCACCACACAGCTCTTAAGGGTCAGGGCCAGGTTTCAAAACCAGGCAACAGGGTCCAGAGTGTGCACACATAACTTCTTCCTACCTTAATGTATTTAGCTGACCTCTCAGCAACTTGTTCTTGGACACTTGCTCTGAGTCTCACACTGTACTAGGCTCTATGGAAAATATGTTTAAAACTTAGGAGGCAGTGTTTGTCCTCAAGAAGCTGACAACTCACTAAGAAGACAGGACTGCTCAAACAGAGCTTAGGTGGGGCCATTGATTCCTAGTCACTGTGGTTAACCCAATAATAGCTCAGGCCATGACAGTGGCCTGGGTTGGTGCTGACAGTGAACTCCGGCATCTCTAGAGTATGCCCAGCAGTTAAAAGGTACCTACTGAATATTTATGGAGCAGGTGGAAGATTGAGATGGAGGAATATATAAGGGACCCAAAAACTAGTCTTCGAATCAGAAAGTGGATCCAGAACTTCAGAGATAGCACATCTGTTTCACCATAAACCATACAGGTGGCAATTCTGGCTCATTTCCTGAGAAAGAGGAGGCAGCCCATCCACCCCGGCAGGGAAGAAAGACTGATCACTAACATTTAAGAGAAACTAGATATTCATCAAACTTTAGGGCTTGTTTTCTTTTGAGATAGTTAACCATAAAGGAAAGGGGATTTCAGGACTGTCAATAATAATGTCTCCACCAGCAGGCTCCATAATTGGCATCTGTATTTTGAAATTTTATCCATCCATCCATCCACTCATTCACTCATGTGTTCATTCACTAAATACTAATTACATTCAGTGTTATGGACTAAATGCAAATCTTTGTCTCCAAACTTAAACTCTACCCAGTAGGATATAATTCCTCTCTGGCACTAGAAAGGGGATCCTCCAGTATGGCCATATCCAGGCCAAAGAGAAGGTTGTCTTCAACCTCTTCCCCAATGATTAGGGTTATGGGGCACAGAGTAACCCCACACCAGAGCGTGCATGGCAAGGCCTATTCGGACACTCTGAGATGGACAGGAATATCAGGAACTAGACTCTGAAACAGAAAGTGGCTTTATCAGCCTCTGGGTCACACCTGCACGGGGCCCTCCCTGGTGAATGGGACTTCCAATCCCAAGCCCAGCCATGTGGCACAGAGACGGTCACATTGTGGCATTCTTACCAATTTTTTTTTCTAGTTGTTACTAATTCAAGAGGCTTGAACGGCCTCTTGAATTGAGTTGAATGGCAACTCAATGGCTTTCTTCTGGTGGGTGGCCTACAGGGACTCATGCAGTGTTCTGCACACAGTTATGGCTCAGGAAAGACTTTTTGGTGGTTTATGTCCCCCCAGAAACCCCGAAATTCCTTCTCCACCTCTTTCTGGGTGCATGGGCATAAGTAATGTCCACCCAGTTCTTGCTTCCAGGGCAAGCCTATATGGGCCCCTCACAAGTAACTATTATAAATTGAGTGATTTAATAAGCTCTTTACATGCGTTACCTGATTTAATCTTTGCCACTTCTCTGGGAAACATCTAACACTGTTCCCACTTTGCCTATGAGGAAACCATGTCTTGGAAAGGAGAACTATTACTATTAGAGTGTTTGCAAGCTTTGACTGCAGGCCCTCACTGTGCTTTTGTCCTGTTGTCCAGGGATACCATCGACCTCGGCACTACATTGCAACTCAGGGTAAGTACTCTCCTCTTCCTTGAAAGGGTCCTCGCCCTTCACTGTAAGAGAGGGATGGGCGTCTGCCAGCAAAGAAGCTGCAGAGGAGTAGGGCTGGAGAGCCTCCAGGGGTCCCTGGGAGCGCCCATTTGTGTTTTTTGTGAAGGAAAGAGGTGCCAAGTTCAGCTCTAGGGGAGGGACATGAGCGAGAGATGAAGGAGATGTCACTAGGCAGCGGTCAGGCAGGGCAGACCAGAAGCATCGGCTTCAGGATCCACCATCCGGAACTGGAGTTGATGCTGCCTTATCTCTTTGATGAGTGTATGCCTAGAAGACGGAAGTAGAAAACAACGTGGCTGTACATCATCAGAGGCTTAAAAATGATCCTGTCTCCGCAACTGTTGGGGGAGGAAATCCTGTAGATAATTACACATACGGACAGGGATATATATAAAGATACTCTTCACAGCATTATCTTCAATAGCAAAAAAGTGAAAAGTCTTAAATGCCCAACCGTTGGTAGATGAGTTAAATAAAGTGTGATACTTCAATATTCTAGAAAATTATGCAGTGAATGCATTTCATGCTTGGTCAGAATTTTTAAGAGCGTGCAAAAATGCATATAATGATGATGCTTATTACAGCAAATACATACATAGAAATACGGGTACATACACAGAAAAGTGTATACATATACAGAAAAATGCTATTCGGATTTTGATACAAAACACATGTGTTACTTTAGTAATTGTGAAAGCGATGAAGGCCCAGGACATTGAAAGAGAAATTTCCAAGGAAATTGCTTTGGACTCTCGGATGCTATCTCTCTTGCCTTGTCTGTTTCTTTCCGTCCCTGCTGTTTGGGCTGCAGACGAATGCTCCCTGTGTTTGTCAAGCTCACAATCGGGCCTCTTCTGTTTGCGCCGTGAGCGTCTGGCTCCCAGCAGCTCTCTGTCTCTCCTCCCTTCCCTGCAACCCCAATTTCCTCCCTGTCTCTCACTGAGCTTCTGGAGCCCAATTCTGAGCGAGAAAATCATCGCCAGGGAAGGGCAATGGGTGCAGGACACATGGGGGCTGTGGGAGAGCAGAGGGAAGAGAAGAAGCTGTCGACGTGTCCAGCGGATGCTATAGTCCATGCTCTGCTTGGTTGGAAAGCTGCTTTTCTTTCCCATACTCTGGCCCTGGTCTCGATGACTTGGGTGTCCCAGCAAGGATCATCTGGCCTTGCTCTTGCTTACCCCTGCCGAGCCTTGACTGACCACGCAGGAGGGACGGCCTCTTGGCTGCTTCCTTGACCCTGTCACCTTCTCTGTCGGCAGGTCCAATGCAGGAGACCGTCAAGGACTTTTGGAGAATGATCTGGCAGGAGAACTCGGCCAGCATCGTCATGGTCACAAACCTCGTGGAAGTGGGCCGGGTAAGCCCCTCCCGCAGCCACCTGGACAGAGGATGCTAGTGCTGCCCTCCAAACATTCCTCTGCTCTGGGCCTTGTGCCAGGTGCCCCCATTCAACAGTGTTCAACAGTTCGCCCCACAGCAACCTGCATGGGAGACATCCTCACTCCTGCTTCCCATTCGAGGACTGGCCTTTCCCTTCAAATCATCCCTCTCTCCACCCTCACCCCGTTGATGATGTCATCTCATGCACTTTGAGGAAACTAAAGCCATCAGACGTGAACTCTCATCTTCACACCGCAAAGCCACAATCCTACCCGCATCTACAACCACCTTCTCATTCTTCCCCCTCTCTCATCAGGGGGATCCATAAAAAATGGCCATTTTTGTTGACCCCAAATGGTAGAATATCTGCTGTTTCTAATGGTTCCGCCTCATATGACGGAGGAAGTGACTCTTGCCCTTTCAAAGGCAATCCCAGTGCCTTAAATCACAGATTCTATTCAATATTTTGTTCATTTCTCTGCTCACTTGAAAAGTAGCTCTTTTTCTCATTGCTAGATCATCCCCCTGAACGTAAAACATCCTGAGTACCTTCCCCCTGAAAAAGATAAAGCAGGCAAACAAAAAGGATTCTCTCGCCCGTGCTTTCCTGCCAGACTCTAAAGACACACACAGACGCTGCTTCTCCACTCCGGTTCTCTTCTCCCCCATCCAGCGTAACTCCTCCCTCCATCCCACCCATAGTGACACCGTCAACATCACCAGCATCCTTCATGTGGACGAGCAGCCACTTTCTTGTCATCGACCTCAGCCTCTCAGAGCATTCGACCCTTTGCTCCCTTACCTCTAAGCCTGGATATTCCTCAGGGTTCGGGCCTCGGTCTCCCACTCTGCTCTATCTTGACTCTCTCCTATGTCATCCTTAGCTACCCCTAGGGCTTGGAAATGGGACTGTTATTCCCCAGCTTGCTTTTGCCAACTTGGTAAACTGTGGCATGTGGGTGGGCGGGCTGCTGGGTTTAAAGGCGAGGTGCACAGACCCTAGAATGAAGAGGGCCTCTCCACTTACCATATGAACTAACTGAAGAGTGGGCAGGTAAGTTTTTGTTTCGGCAAAAACCAGATAACCCATTAAAATAAAGAGTCCTGGCCTCCAAGATAACGGGAAAGAGAGAATCTGGGCTGTTGTCATAATCCAGGCTATGGACATCTCGCGGCCTCATAGGAGGACCCTAGGAGGGACTCTATCCTCGAGCCCACTCTTACCTAGTCCTTTCCCCAATTTTACAGATGAGGAAACAGGCCCAAAGGGGTGGAGTGACTACCCTGGCCAGAGCCCTGCCAGGACCACTGACTCTTGACTCTCCTGCTAGTATCGCAGCCCCTCCACTCATGACTGCTCCCCAGGGACCCAGGCCTGGGGGAGGAACTGCTGTGGACAAAAAACAAAAAAAAAAAAAAAAAACTAGGATTTAAGAATTCAGAGGTAAACTCCAGCCTGTTCTAGAACATATCCCATATTGGAGACAGACTCCCTTGATGGACAGATCATGAGTCTGATTTGGATTTGGGGAGGGAACAGGGGAGTGCTCTCTTGACAAAACTCCTAAGAGCCAAGCACCGTGCCAGATGCTTACTGTGTATTACTTCATTTGGAGTCCCAACAACTGCCCCAGGTGGTGTTTCTGGTAATTATTCAGATGGCCTAGCTTTGCATCCTGGCTCCATCCGTTACTGACATTGGACACTTTTTTAGCCTCTCAGTGCTTCTGATTCCTCATCTGTAAAATGGGGTAATAATAATATCTGTATGAGGTTGAAATGATAAGCTATTAAAATAACACATGGAAGGAATTCATAGAACACTTAGTAAGCAGTGAGAAACAGTTGTCAATAAGTGTTAGCTATCATTTTTTTAAGTTTATTTATTTATTTGGAGAGAGAGAGAAAGCACGAGTTGGGGAGGGGCAGAGAGAGAGAGAATCCCCAGCAGGCTGTGCGCTGACAGGGCAGAGCCTGACTCGGGACTCCAGCTCACGAACCGTGAGATCATGGCCTGAGCCGAAAGCAAGAGTCGGACGCTTAACTCTCAGAGCCACCCTGGCACCCCTAGCTGTCATTATTAATAAGAAGTTGAGCCTCAGAGATTTCGGCACTTTCTGGAAGCTACACAGCTACTGAACATTAGCACCAAGCAATGCATCCATTTGCCTCCAAAGCCTGTTGCACTGTACCAGCATTTCCCTAAGTGGGTTCCACGGGATGCTAGCCTGCAGGATGTCTAGTGAGAAGAGGGTTCCATGGTTAAATACGTTTGGGAAATGCTGTGCACTCTTTGCCCCTCTCGGAGAGTCGAAAATACAGTAGCGTTAGCACATTCGATGAGCTGAGGAGTCTGGTAGCAGAGCGGCCTGTTTAACTTTGTTTAATCCAGCATTTCCCAAACTCATTTGACCACAAAACCTTTTTTTTGTTTGTTTTTTTGTTTCTTGTGTTTTACCTAACACCTATTAGCGCCCAGCGGAACACACTGTGGGAAATGCCACTGTAGGCCGCGCGGCGTCCCCCGGAATGGTAATGCTTTTGTTCTTTTTAGGGGAAAGCAATGATGATCTCTTCTTCCTCCCGCGGAGTGTGACGCAGAGTCAGGATGTGGGACTGGCTTATCTGTAGCACCTGCACCCACTGCCCGGGCACAGAGCGGTCACAGAGTCTTCCCTCTGAGCCCAGCACCTTCCATACTTTTCCCAAATGAGAGCCTTTCTCCTTCCAGCCCCCAATTTCCACCTCTTAATAGTAATGTCCCTCTCCCGACCACTTCTGCTTCCACTCCCTTGCTGTTGCCCACCTTTTATTCTCATCTCTGCTCTGCTGACACTGCCCAGCTGCCCCAGCCTGACCTCGCACAGAGAGGGCTCAGCCAGAGCTAGGAAACTGGCCAAGTGACCCCAGAAGAGTCACCAGACCTCCATACTCGAGCGTTATTCTCATCTGTAAACGGGGTAACGCCACCTGCCTACCTCACCTTGATCTATTTGATCACTTAGGGTGATGATGGACTTGGAGATTTTAAGGAGCTCTGCAAAAGAAGGTACCACCATTATCCCTAACGGCTCCAGTTCCTTGGGGAGAGAGCGTGGCCCTGTGCGGTTTGCCAGTCCCTGGCCAGCTGAGAACCCCTTCGACCGAAATTCCACCCAAATCGCCCTTGGGTTTATCTGAACAGGAAGGCCAGACGAGGCGGCTGCTCATACTCAGCCACCCACTCATTCATCCTTGTCTCTGTCTTTTCTCACAGGTCAAGTGTGTGCGATACTGGCCGGATGACACGGAGGTCTACGGAGACATTAAAGTCACCCTGATTGAAACAGAACCCCTGGCAGAATACGTCATACGTACCTTCACAGTCCAGAAGGTAAGCTTGTTTGTTCATTCTGGGGATGCACTGAGCGAGGGTCTGCTCTGTGCCCATCCTGTGTTTGGCACCAGGGACGAGTCAGCAATCAGGTTGGATGTGAATCCCTTTCCAGAAGATGCCCCCCTCTAGCAGGAGAGACAAACAGAATTCAACAGACAAATAAATGGACTAATGCCATATGGTGATAAAAGCCATGGGAAAAAAAAAAAAAAAACATGCCATGAGTGGAGACAGGAAGATGATGTGGTGAGAGAGGGCTTCCTGGAGGAGGAGGTATTGAGGCAGATAATGAAGGATGAGAAAGAGCCAGCTGAGGGAAGAACAGGAGGAATACTCTGCCAGGCAGAGAGAAGGAAACATGCAGAGTTGAGGGGAAAGAAGATTTCAACATGTTCTAGGCCTGTGGTTCTCAACTGGTGGTGATTTTGTCCCACAGGGGACGTTTCACCATGTCTAGGGACATTTTTAGTTATCAAACCTGAGGAAGGAGGGGTGCTCCTGGCGTCTATGGGTGGAGGCCAAGGATGCTAACATCCTGCAATGCATAGGACACCCCAGCACCCAACCACAGATGTCAGTGATGTCAGGGTTGAGAGATGCTGGTCTAGGTATTGAAACGAGGCTAGGGTGCAAGTAAGCAAGAACGAGATTTCATAAAAAGAAAAAAATGAGAAAAGCTTAAAATGAAGAAAAAAAGAATGAGATTCCAAATAATTATTAGATTAGTAATTTAATTGGTCTCATAATGCTAGCTAACATTTATTGAGCAATTACTAAAGCAGGTGCTTTTCTCGGTGCTTTGCATACATGAACTCATTTAATCCTCCCAACAACCTCTTCATGGAGGTACTGTTATTACCCCCATTTTAGAGGTGACAAAAATTAGGCACAGCGCACGTACATCAGCTGTCCAGAGTTGCTCGGCCATAAGCCGGCCGAACCACGTTCCCACCTCAGCCCTTGACTGAGGCTCACTGTGCCTCCACTACTCCAACACGCCATTTTCTGAAAGCACCTGCATTACTGGACCAGGTGGCCCCAGACCCGAGGATGCAGAAGCATTGGGCATTCACTGCTGTGAAAGCTGTACTGTTGAGGTTTGTGCAAGTACTTTTGAGGACCGAAGCAGGCACATGCACGGTATGGTGCCTGCACGCGTGGTTGAGTACAGGACACGCTCCTCCTGGCCGTTCCCTCTCCAAGCCCCGTGCTTCTGAAGGCCTACATCTGCAGGCTCAGGTGAAGAGCCAGGAGAGAAGGGCCCTTCTTCTTGACGAGGAGGAAGACAACAGGTGCATTGATGTGGCCTCAGGTCAGGTTCCTTAGAAGCAGAGCCTGAGACAAGGATTCAGGTGCATATAGTGCACCCTGGGACCACTCTCAAGAGAAACTTGTAATAGAGGGCAGGAAGCTGGAGAGGGAAGGAGAAGAACCTGGGCAAGAGAGTCTTCTGCAAAGTCTAGCCCAGGCCTGCTCCAGGGGGCTTCCAGAGCATGACCTGCACCAGAGAGTTTGCCCCCTTGCCTCAGTCTGCCCTCTGACTGTAGACCAGCCACTGAGAGGTCACCTCCAGCACAAGTTGGCTCTTGTTGGCTGAGGGCACCGCTCCAGAAAAAGGGAGTCACTCGCAGTCAGCACTCCTGCAGTGGGGAGTCCTGAGGACACAAGCCACAAAAAAGGTCCTTGGATGGGGCTCCCATCTCATCTGGCACATAAGCAGTTAGTGTGGAGAGTGAGATGAGCAGTGGGGACATAGTGGCCCATCCTGGGTCCCACACCTGAGCAGGGAGGCTTTGGAGAACCGTACACAGGTGCTCAGCAAACTATCTGGGTCATTAGCTCACAATTGGTTCTTGAGCCGAGCCCAGGAGCCAGAAATAATAAACAGGAAGCAGCATCTGCCCTTGAAGAGAGCACAGTCCCAACTGGGAGAGAGGGCCCCTGATACATAACCGCAGTGGAGGTAGTGAGGTCTCGAACAAGGGCTTCCCCGGGCTGAGGTGACTCTGAGCATGGAATGAAAAACTAAGTATTCCTGAAGCTGTTTTCTCCTACTTGAGCTCGTCCTTCAGGGCCCTCATCTGGGCCTTTGTTCACTCCCACCTGGACTCCTACCCCAGCCTCCTGGGGCCTCTCTGCTTCTAGTCTCACCCCATCTTAGTCTGGGTTTCTGGGAGCCAAGTCTGAGGCAGAGCTTTGCGTGCCCTTGTTCTGAGGACAAGAGAAGAGAAGCAGGAGGCGGGATGGGGCAGGGGAAGGAGCCAAGCAAGGGAATGCTTTCAGCCTGAGACCAGCATCAGCCAGATCCCATGGGAGCTCTAGAGACAGGTAATCCGTCTCAAGGCAAAGGGATCTTCTGTTCCTCCATTAGGGTAACCCAACGTCCTGGTGGGCCCAGGGCCATCCTGGCTTTAGCACCAAAAGTCCCATGTCCTGGGAAACTGCTCAATCCTGGGCAGTCTCAGCAAGTCAGCTGCCCACTCTGCTGTCCTCCAGCCACTGAAGGCCAGCTGCCCACCCCCACCCCCAGGGGAAGTGGCTCGTGGTTGGCTGAGCAATTCTCTGAAGGAGGAAGTGGCTGTGGGCATCAGCCAAGACTCAGAGGAGCTGGGGATAGGGTTTCTGGCCCAGGAAAGGGGACCTGAAGGGCACTGTCAGCGCCCTCTGCACTGCCCCCCAACACACCCGCTCAGATCCCTGCTTCACATAGCAGCCTGCATAGTCCTCCTAAAAATGCAAGTCTGATGACGCGCTTCCCCTTCTGTGCACCCATCCCTGCAGCCTCCCCAGAGCTCCCCAGTAAAGACTCAGTGTGGGATACAAGGCGTCCCGGGATCCAGCACGTGCCCCGTCTTCTACTTACCTCTGGGGGTGCCCCATTTGTGATTCTGTGCACGAGCTGTGCTAAGTAAGCCCTGTCCCCACATGGATGCCCTGGCTGCCGGTCTCCCATGGAATCCCTCCATCTGTTCCGCTGGGCAGTACTCAGACATCAGTGTCTTACAGTGATTAGGAGTGCAGATGCGGAGTCCATCAGCCAGGGTCCAGACTGGGTTACAACTTACTAGTTGTATGACCTAGTTATGTTACGTAACCTTGCTTAGCCTCAATTTCCTCATCCACAAAACAGAGATAACATAAGGACTGGTCTGAGAATTAAATGAGTTAATACATTGAAATATTCAGAAGAGTAACAGGCATGGAGTCTGTGTTTAGTAAGTATTAGCTATAGGGGCACCTGGGTGGCTCAGTCTGTTGAGCGTCCAACTTCAGCTCAGGTCATGATCTTGTGGTTCATGCGTTCGATCTCCACGTCAGGCTTTGTGCTGATAGCATGGAGCCTGCTTTGGATTCTCTGCCTCTCTCTATGCCTCTCTCCCACTCACACACATACGCTTGCTTGCTCTCGCTCTCTCAAAAATAAACATTGAAAAAAATTTTAAATCTTTAAAAAAAACTTCTTTAAGAAATAATAAAATAGGGGCTCCTGGGTGGCGCAGTCGGTTGAGCATCCGACTTCAGCCAGGTCACGATCTCGCGGTCCGTGAGTTCGAGCCCCGCATCAGGCTCTGGGCTGATGGCTCGGAGCCTGGAGCCTGTTTCCGATTCTGTGTCTCCCTCTCTCTCTGCCCCTCCCCGTTCATGCTCTGTCTCTCTCTGTCCCAAAAATAAATAAACGTTGAAAAAAAAAATTTTTTTTAAAAATAATAAAATAATAAAAAATAAAATAATAAATTAAAAAATAAATAATTAAAAAATAATAAATGTTAGCTATTATTGTGTCTCAAGACTCAGGCCATGCATCACCTCCTTTAGGAAGCCCTCTCTGATTTCTCCTTCCCCAGATGGGGTTACCTGACACTCCTTTAAATACTTCAGTAGAATTATCCACTTAGGGGTCTGCCTCCCCAGCTAGACCATGAGCTGTTCCAGGGACAGGGGCCATAGCTTTTATTTCTGCCTTCGCAGTGCCTAACACGAGGCACAGATAACCTCAGTGAATATTCTTTAACTGAAGGAATGAACACTCTTCCTATTCAGTGTTCCCTGCACACCTGCGGGAGATTACAAGGTAAGAAAGAGTGGGCAAGGACACTGCCTAAGCTCAGGCTCCAGGTGACACCTGACCAGAGACTGGTCAGAGCAGTGCCCTTAGCCCGGAGGGTGTCTGTAAGGAGCGGTGAGAGGGGAAGTGGAAGAAACTGGAGGCCCAGGCCCCCGTCCGTCAGAGGAGCTCTAGCTTTTATTTGTTTCCTATCTTACCATTCTAAATAAGAATCTCATAACTAAAGAAGTCTGACACGTTTTTTTAAACTTAAAAGCCATGGAGACAATGATAGGACTGGAGAACTGAGGGACACAGACCCTAGTCACAGAAAAAGCCATATAGTGTACTGGCAAGGACTTGAACTTGTTAAGGCCAAGCTTTCTCTGAGTCTGTTCTGCTGAATAGAAGTCCCATGACACTTTGTCAAAAGAGGGTCCCTTGCACAAACGCTATGGGAGGCTGTAACACTCCCTTGGGGATGCAGAGTGTACATGAGCCCACAAAAGTCTCTGAGAAGTCCTGCAGCAAAGCCACCACCTCTACGTTACCTACTTCCATGGCTCCCAGGTGCAACAGATGACAGAAGTCACTCTGTGTGGCAACCCCTGCTCACGCTGGTAGGGTCCTGTCCTCCCTGATGGCAGGGAGGCTGGTTCCTCGGTGCAGCAGCCGTGTTCCCCACGGGTGCTT